CCGACTTCCACCAGGCAGCCAGGGCAGGGGCCCCATCAGGCCTTCTGACAGCTGTGCCCCTCGCTCTTGGCTTGTTTGCCTCCACCCAGAGGGCTCGCCCTCCCTCCCTCCCAGGCTGCGCCCTCACCACCAGGCACCCCGAGTCTCAGGCCCTTTCCTTGGGGCTCCTGTAACACCTCACCCATCCTGGTTTGTCCTCCTGCGGGTTCGGAACCCCGGGGACTGGGACCTGGCAGCCCTGCTGTGCAGAAGGGAGCTCCGGGCTGGCGCTGCGTCTGACAGGCCCGCCAGTGTCACAGCGCGAGGCGGCCGCTCTCAGCCCCTGGCGTCCTCTTCAGCGCCCAGCTGCCACCCCCCCCACACACACACCCAGGCTCCAGCCCTTCCCGGCTCTGCAGACCCCTCTCCCAGCTCAGCTCGCACTCTCCTAAGCCCTGCTTTCCTTTCCTGAACCTTTCCCTCGGCCAAGTCCAGTGACCAGCATCTGTCCCTCCCCTGGTCTGGTCACGGCTGCATCTGAGGGCCCTGACCGGTACCACCGCCCTGCCCTGCTCCTCTCAGCACCTCCCATGCCCTCCTGTTTGGGGAGCACACTCCCCGCCCCAGCCTCCTGGTACTCACGGGGTCCACTGCTCATCAGAAATGTAGCAGAACATGAGACGCCGCACGTGGTAGGGCAGCCAGCAGACCACGAAGGCGATGACCACGGCGCCTGAGAGAGACGGACACCGGCCTCAGGGAAGTGAGGGAGACGGCCATGTTTGTGGACCAGAAGGCTTAGTGCGGTGAAGACTCAATACACCCAAGGTGGTGCCCAGGTTCAAGGTTATCCCATCAAAATCCCAGCAGCACTTCTCGCAGAAATAGAAACAGTCACCCTAAAATTCCTATGGAATCTCAACGGGTCCTGAAGAGCCAGAACAACTTAAGGCAGAACAAGGCTGGGCTCAACTTGCTGGTTTCAAAGCTTACCGCAAAGCTACAGGAAGCAAAACAAGTGGTCCCGGCAGACAGCAGGGCACCGGGCTAGAGCAGAGAGCCCGGTAAGCGGTCACGTGCATGTCAAGTGACTGGTGACCAGACGCCGAGACCATCCAAGGGGAAAGAACAGTCTCTGCCACAAGGTGCGGGGAAGTGGACATCCACACGCAAAAGGGTGGCTAGGCCCTCCCCTCACACAAACCCACACAGATGTGCGGTCAGCTCGGAACGGACCGAGGC